TGCTGCCTGCCTCTTGAGCACAAGGTCCCGAGTTCGATCCCCAGTACCAAAAAAAATAAAATTTAAGAACACCACACATACAGAGAGAGAGAGAGAGAGAGAGAGAAGAAAAGGTCTTCATTTAGAACTTTTGCAACGCAGGACCAGCACTAGGCTCTTTGGAAACTACAGAATGCTTTTCCTTCTTTGGAAACCATGTAAAGGCCCATTACCTCTAGCACACCTATGGTGAGAGACAAAGTGGCTTTCTGATCTATTTCAATAGAGCTGGCAACTCTCTCTTTATTTAAGAATAGAGAAAATTTCAAGGACCCAAGTTTGATCCCCGGTACCAAAAAAAAGAATAAAGAAAATTAAATCACTGGAGAACCCTATTGTGGCAGCCAAACAGAACCTGAGAGATACCCGCTAGCTTGCTCAGAGACTTCTCAAAAGTCACCTCTTTCCAGATTCAGGTGACAATAGTGAACAGCTTGGGTTTTTCTGAATGTGGACATGTATACACACGCGTGACTAAAAGCCACAGCAAAACCGTCAGTGAACAGCCATTTTATAGCAGGACCCAGAAAGCAACCACTTCCAACATGGTGGATCCTGCATGTTTTCTCCCCATATCTGGTCACCCTCATTCTGAGATGAACAGGGTGACCACAGAAGACTGACCAGGCCTCCAGAGGAGCAGCCAGACAACCAGTAGGAGTTGCAGTATCGCCTTACAGCAGAAGTGGCACTTGCACAGTAACAGGAGGGGACACTCGCTGCTTCGGAAGGCAGCAACTCAGTGCAGCCACGATGATGCACAGCCTATCCGGGTAGGTGACACTCAGACAGCACCAGTGTCCTTCCAATTGGCTGTTACCCAGCTGTAAATGCCTCTGCCCATCTGAGATGGGCTCTGAGAGATGACAGAAGTGTCTCCACTGCCCATTTATATGTCCTTTGGCCTTCATGAACACTGTCCTACAAGACCTCAAGATGACTGTGCAAGGTAAGCAGGACAGGTACCAGCACCACTTGCGGATGAAGAAACAGTGACTCTGAGGCCATATGACCTACCTGCCCAAGGTCTCAAGTCAGGCAGTTAATCAGCAGCCCAGTCAGGAGATGGGCCTAGCCCTTATACTCACTGGCCAGCACAGTTTCCAGGACACCACCCTGCTGCCTTCTGTTTCTGGATAAGAGGCTAGACACAGAGAATAATGGTCAAGGGCACAGGCTCTGGAGTGGCCAGATATACACTCCAGTCCTACCTCTTTTTTTTTTTTTTTTTTTTTGAGACAGGGTCTCACTATGTAATTCAGGCTGGCCTTGAACTCACTATGTAGCCTAGGGTGGCCTGAAACTCATGGCAGTCCTCCTGCCTCAGCCTCCTGAGTGCTAGGATTACAGGTATGTGACACCATGCCCATGTCTCCAGTCCCACTTCTTCTACCTAAAACTTACTAGCTGTATGATCTTATGTGGGTTCCTCAACTTCCCCCTAAACCCACTTCCTTGAGTAAAAGGAAAGGGGATAAAAGCCTTATCTCACAGTCATAGTGATGACTGAATGAGATGATGGACACAAAACACTCAAATTCATACTCAGAAAATACCTGTGCTAGGCAAGGCACAGCGCAAGAGTTACAGCAGTGATCAAAAGTCCTGCTCTCAAGGAGCTTAGAATTTGGTCAAAATGTAAGAAAAAAGTAAAGCAATAAGTAAAACATTTATAAAGTATGTTAAGAACTATTAAGGACACTGGGTATGGTGGTGCACGCCAATAATCCCAGGCACACAAAAGGCTGAGGCAGGACCAATTGTTAGTTCAAGGCCAGAATGGGCAACTTAGTGAGATCCTGTCTCAAAATAAAATAAAAAGCGCTGGGAATGTAACTCACCACCACCACCACCACAACAACAAAAGAAATTGCCCCTTCCTGTGATTCTTTCCAGTATTCACTGCTACCTCGATGGTTTTGCTGTTGTTTGCAGTATTGGGGATTAAACCCAGGGCACTGTCACTGAGCTACATCCTCAGCCCTTTTTGAGACAGGGTCTTACTAAATTACCCAGGCTGGCCTTGAACTACCAATCCTCCTGCCTCAGCCTTCCAAGTAGCTGGGATTACAGGCCGCACCACCACATCAGCAGGATAGGCCAGTTTTTAAGGATGGGCCAGTGTTTAAAGACTAGTCTCTGAGAAGAAATTTCATTTGAGCCGTAAAGGATCCAAAGAAGCCAACCATGTGAAGAATGGAAGGAAAAGCATTCCCAGCATGGGGAACAGGATATTCAGGGTCACGGCACAGGGAAGCACAGGAAACAAATGTGCTTTCTGGGAAGCACTCAGAAAAGACATGTGACTGCACTGCATCATCTCATGGGATTTGGGGAACAACCCTTAGGGACCCTTACAGACTGTCACTGCTGAGGATTACCACATCTATTTTTAAAGTAGCAAAGATGAGGCTAGAGAGAGGTTATGTGTGTCTTGCCCAAGGTCACAGCTATTCAGAGGGAGATGAGACTTCATTACTCTACTTCTAGAAGCAGCATGAGGCCAGCTTTCACGAATTTCAATAATGACTGCTTTCTGAGCCAGGAAGAGTCCCCAAAGCACCTTGAAAACACAAGCAACAGCACCATATCAGTTTCCAGGCATCTTGTCAATTATGCACTAAAATCGGAAGCTTACCCCGCAAGAGCAAAAGCTGCTCAGACCTGAATCAAAGGCTCTAAAGCAGAAGCTCACTTCTTTTCTTGCAGCAATGAACAAGAGAAGGAGGGGTGTCCCAGAAAACCCTATGGTCTATTGGTGGAGTGAGACAGAACCACAGCTGCAGATGAAGGCTCATCTCAAGTGAACCACACAGGAAAAGCTAATTACTTTGTCTGAAAAAAAACAAAACCAAATCTCCAAAGTAGTGGTTCTCAATCAGGGTGGTAACCTCACCACAAAGGGAATGTGGGAATTCGTGAGACATTTTGGGGTGAACTGCAGGATACTACTGGCTTTGAATAGGTCAGGCCAAATGTAAGCTCAACATCTTGCAAAAAGACAAGATGCTCCTATACAGTAAAGAATGCTAGGGCCGGGGATTTAGCTCAGTGGTTCTACCGCCTGCCTCGAAAGCGCAAGGTCCCGAATGCGATCCCTGGTACCAAAAATGAATGCTATTACCAGAATATTAACAGCAGCCTCCCACACACACTTTAGGGGTACCCCTCCCTAAAAGACTAACGCATTGGCTCCAACTTTTCCTGTATCCTCATGGCTCAATGGGCACTCCCTACCCTGTCTGCAACTGCATGAAAAAATAAATTATGTCTCCACACATGAGGAGTGTGCAATTTTGGAATCCATTTGTGGGCTCATAACTTTAACTTGAAACCTGGTAGAGGAAGAAGGATAAAGAAGTTTCTAGTAAGAGGCAGACTTGAGAAATTTCTTCCTCTTCCATTACATTTGTTTTGCTACGCACAAAATTCTATGATTTTAGAGAAGCTACTTATAGTCCTTTTTCAGTTTAAAATCAGATGCGAATGACATTTCTTTTAAAAACCATAATCATCTCACAAAAACAGCTGACTCTTTCTGGCCTGAACTGCATTAGAAAGATTAATTTCAAGATGCCTAACGCTGATCGGATGCCTGAAAGTGCCAAAGGCAAATATGCATCTCTTTCAGGACAGTGCAATACAGATCACAGAAACTCCAATGATATCCAGAAATTTGGTCAGGGCTTCAAATACCATTTTAATAGCAATTCAAAAGCTACTTCCAAGTGCCACACTAAACTAGTCACCATGTCCCTCCCAAAATCATTTCACAAATTAAAGTTTATAGAACAAAAAAGAAAAGGAAACTTTCCAGGAAGAAAAAGAGCCTACCCTATTTTCAAATAGCAGTGATTCTCCATAAAATACCCTAAGGACAGGAAAAAATCTTTCTCCTATACAATACCTAACATTTCCCAACTTACCCAAAGGAGTCTGAATATGTATTTTCTTCAGTCAGCTTGCCAATTAGCAAAGCGCAGCCCCACACCGATTTGACCAATTTTCTAGAAGCCTGACCTGGCTTCTCAGGATAGCCAGACAGACCTGTTTTCCTCCACAAACCCCTGCCAGGCCTTTCCTGCCCTGCCTGCTAGAGCATGGGAAATCCCCTGTCAGGCTTTAGCTGGCTTGTCACCAAAGTTCCAAAATGAATTCATCCAGATTCTTTGAATCCTCCTTCCCCAGTCATGTGCCAACAGCCGGGCAATAGTACCCCACCTTCCCGAGCTCTTGGTTAGGAAAAGATGCAGATTCACAGGAACAGCAGAGCACTTAGCATGAAGCAGAAGAAAAAAAGATGGTGGGATGTGAAAGTCGTTGAGCCAAGCCTACTGCATGACCAGAGCCCCAGTCCTGCAAAGCCAGAGAGGGAGGCCTTCTATACAGCAGGCCACACCTGTCTATGCCAGCTGCCTGCTCCATTTTAAATAATTCAAACAGATCTCCAGCAGGGTGGCAAAACTAGGCATCCCCCTTTTCCCAGCAAGAGAGCCCTCATCCAAGCACCAGTTGTCCCCAATTTTATTTCTTTTCACACTCTTATTTAGGAAACACTTTCTGGTCAAATTGGACAACCCCCTCTGCTTTAAAGGTAAGGTAGACAAAACGCTGCAGCGGCAGAAAGAAAGCACCCAAGCCTACTCGCTGTAAGCCAGGCGAGACCTCTTCTCTGAGGATAGTGATGCCCATAAAATGAGACTTCAGGGGGCAGGCTTCACTGAATCTGCCATCCACAAGTGAGCACACACCAGGAGTCCCAAAACGCCGGGCTCCGCAGCCTCGCGGAAAGCCTCTTTTCTAGACACGAGGTATCCCATTCATCCTCTGGCGTGGGGAACCAAAGGACAGGCAGACAGGAGTGAGTTCCATACCCAAATCCTGGCTCGCAGGTCTGGGGCGTCCCGGCGCGCCCTCCCTTGCTCTTTACCCTCCGAGGCCTCCACCACCCGTAGACTCACCACTGTGCGAGCTGAACCACCTGGGTGCGATGTGCAGAGGTAGAGCATCCGCCAGCGAGGCTCGGGAGCCCAGGTACAGCATCCCGTCTCTATGGTGACCGCCGCCCGTCTCCTGGTAACCATTACCGTGGGCATAGCTGGAGTCGGACGCAGACCCTCCGCCGCCGGGCGCCCTCTCGGAGTCGCCAGTCCCCCGGGAGGCGGGGGTGTAGAGGCCAAAGGGCACTCCGCTGGCCGTGCTGGGGTCCATGCCCATGCCCGCCACCGAGCTGACCGAGCGGCTGCGTAGCCCCATGGCCCCGCTGCCCGTCCGGTAGTGCCCAAAGTGGGGCGCCCCTCCCGGCGGGGGCACGGCGCTGTCATCGGTGGAGACCCCCGGGAAGGGGCCCCGGGAGCGGGTCGCCGTGCTCTGCTTGCCACCCATGCTCGCCCGGGCCCCGATGGGGCGGGAAACTGGAGGCCGAGACCCTCCCCCACTTCTCAGCAGCCGGGGAAGAGCTGGGCTAGCATAAAGGGGGAGGGAATCAAAAAGGAGACCGAGAGGAAGAAAAAGAAATAAGGAAAAAAATACAGAAAACCCGCCGGGCGGAAGAGGCAGGCGGGCGGGTGCCCCAAACTAAGAATTTTAAAAGATCCAAGCCAAACGCATGTTTCCCCTCAAGGTCCAAAGAGGCGCAGTCCGGAGCGGGTGCCGCGCGCCACAGGCCGCCCCCGGGCCCCGAAAACCCTAGGGGAGCCGCAGGGGCGGAGGGAGGGAGGCGGCGGGCGGGCGCGGGGAGGCGCCGGGGGAGGCCGCCCGCCCCACTGGAGCCGGCAGAGGGCTGGGGGCGCCGGGCGCGTCCCCCGCCTCAGGACGCCGCGACCATGGACGGCGGCCCGGACCCCTTCAGGCCTCGGGCGGGCTGCGGCGCTGGGCGGCCAGGCGGAGCTCCGGAAGCGGCGGTCGCGTCGCGTCGCGTCGCGATCTCGCTCCAGCCACCGCCGGCCCCGCCAGCCGCGCCGCCCAGCTCAGCCCCGGGCTGCGCTCGCCGGCGCTCCTCGCCGCCGTGGAGACAATGGAGGGCGGCAGAGCGCAGGCGCGGCTAGCACCCCCTCCCCCTTCCCTCCCCCCTGCCGGGTTAACCCCTTAGGCGCCCCGGGGTGCCTCTGGGACGGTGACGCCCGGGCGGTCCCCGCCTGCCCTCGTCTGGCTGTGAACCGGGTGGCCTGAGCTACGGGGCATTAGCAACAGAAGAGAGACGTCTTTCCAAAGCAAGCACGAAAGTGGCTAATTATTCGAGGGGCGCCACGGAGGGGTGGAGGAGCGGCGAAGGTTCAAGGGGTGGAAAGGAAACACCAGCTAGAAAGAAAATCACTCGATACTCGATACGCCTGTCTGGCTCTGAGGGTCCCTGGTCCAGCTCCCCTCCCGGCACAAATCTGCCCCTACAGCACCCTCTGCTGGACGTGCCGTCAGTTCTTTGGGTTCCCCATCCAAGACACCCCACCCCCCAACCCCCCCGCCCCATCAGGAAACTTAGCTTTTGCGGGGAGGAAGTGAGCCGTTTTGAAGCAGAACAGTGCGCAGAGGCACTTTGTGAACTGGGGCTTTGCTGAGATTAGATCAGAACTTCCTAACCAAATGGGTCGACTTCTAAACTAAAATGTAATCCTCAGAATCAATAGTTGTAGGATAAAAGGTGAGAAGATAAAAGCACGGAAATAGAATATTGCAGCTAGAACTGACTTTAGAAATTCCTCGTCCAAGGCAGACGCCTTGTTTTATTTACCGTGTGTTTTGATATACACCACAAGGGGCAAGGACACAGTGAGTACGAAATATTTGTTGAGCAAATCTACATTTGCAACCAAGAATTACCTTTCCACTTCAGTCCCTGTTTTTCTCACATACGCACCTTCATTCATTCATTCATATTAAAAGGAAACAGAAAAGAAAGGAGCTGGCCTGTTGCGGATACTGATTGTTCCAGTGTGGCCAACTTGGAAAGCAACAGGACAGTAATTTGCAAACATGGAGTGCTCAGAGGTGAACAAAAAGCCCTGTACAAGAAATTTAAGAGTTTTGTATAATAAATCAAAGTAGGAAGAAAAATTATGAGCCAATATCCAAGAAATTATCAGTGCACTGGCCCGGGGATTTAGCTCAGCGGTTCCACCGCCTGCCTTGCAAGCACAAGGTCCCGAGTTTGATCCCAGCTGTCGGAAATTATCTGTGCATTCCTGAATGAGGAGTTCGTACACATCTGAAATCCAAATGAGTGATCTGCAAAAAACTAGAAAGACTACGGTATCAGAAGAGGAATGGTTCAGTACTGTGAAGAAAAAAAGATACCAGATCCATTAATGGATAGATCTCTGTTGGGGAGATAAGCACACAACGACTTATCTCATCCAAGTAGCTTTGCTTTACTTGTTCATTCAATACATTTTTAGTTATTTAACAAAATGTTTATAATCTAATAAGCATCACGTACTGTACGTACTGTACTAGATTATAAGATTCAGGGTGGAGGGGCCAGGGATTTAGCTCAGTGGTTCTGCCGCCTGCCTCGAAAGTGCAAGGTCCTGAGTTCGATCACCAATATCAAAAATATAAAATAAAAAATTCAGGGTGGAAAGACAAATGGAGTCCCTGTTCTCTTGTTCGCCTAGGATGCCAGAAAACCATTTCAGACCCATTTGGATGGCTACAATCAAAGAGAAGTACAGTAACAATTTTTGGTGAAAAGGAGAGAAATCAGTATCCTCATACCTTGCTGGTAGGAATGTAAAATGGTGCAGCTCCTTTAGCAAACAGCCTGACCATTCCTCAAAAGGACTAAGTTAACAATATGGCCTAGCAATTCCACCTGTAGATATATTTCTTTTTTGGTACCAGGGACCAAAACCAAACTCGGGGCCTTGTGCTTGCAAGACAGGCACCAGAACTACTGAGCTAAATCCCCAGCCACCACCTGTAGATATATTTCCAAGAGAAATGACAACATACATTTAAAAACTCATGATTTATTTGAAATAGCCAAAAACTGGAAACAATGTAGATATCCATTGACTGATAAAAACATAAACCAAGTTTTGGTATATTAATACAAATGAATATTATTTGGCTATAAAAAGGAATAAAGTAAAAAAAAAAGGAATAAAGTCATGGTACCTATTACAACATGTATGAACCTTAAAAACATCATGCTAAATAAAACAATCTAGTCATTTAAAAAACTGCACACTGTGTGATTCCATTTATATGAAATGTCCAGAGTAGGCAAATCCATTGAGACAGAAAGATTAGTGGTTACCAGAGCCTGGGAGAAGGGAAGAATGGAGAGTGACTGCTAGGATTTTTTTTTCCCTTCTCTTTTCTTTTTTAATTTTATATGTGTATTTGGAGAAGGGGGGAGGTACTGGGCATCGAACCAGGGCCTTCACATTGAGCTACATTCCCAGACGTTTTTATTGTTTTGAGACAGGGTCTCACTAAGTCCCTAAATTCCCAAGGCTGAGCTCCACCTTGTACTCCTTCTGCCTCAGCCTCCTAGAATGCTGAGCTAATGAAGGCATCAGCACACCTGGCCTAGGATTCTTTTTGAAATGATAGAAATGTTCTAGAATTAGATAATGGAGATAGTTGTACACCCCTTGTGAATATACTAAGAACCACTGAATTATGTGCTTAAAAGGTGAATTTTGCCCAATTGAGATAGACAATATATCTTACATTTTAATGTCTAAGTCAGGTGTTACGACTTGTATCTAGCTGTCCCTCCAAAGCCTCATGCACTCATAGGTGGGGCTTTTCAGAGCTGGCTGGATCTAAGGTGTGTGCTGCTGGGATTAAGGGTGCCATACCCTGGGTGCAGGTGGCCACATCCAAAAGGCAGGTAACCTGGAAGGGACAAAAGGAGAGGCTGCTGCTTTGCTGCTACTTCGTCATTACTTTGCTGCTTTTCTGCCCACCATGCACTGTTTCTCCTTTGCAATGCCTCTCTGCCATACCACCCTGCCTTGGAGCCAGCCAACCATAAAGTGAAACTTTTCCTCCACAAACTGTGAGCTACAGTAAACCTTTCCTCCTTTAACGTTGGGTGTTGAGTATTTTGTCTCAGCAACAAGAAAAGTTACTGAGACATCAGCTAAAGCTAGATAGATATATAGGTAGATAAAATGTACACCCCATGGACACTGAAAGGTCAAGCAATCAGTAGAAGCAGAGCTGGGCTTCTAAGCTATACAATGAAAATGCTCATCATGGAATCTTCAGATAGTGATTCTGTTTTCCCTGTATGCTTTTATGTTGGACTTTTTTTTTTTTCGGTACCAGGGATTGAACTCGGGTTCTTGCGCTTGCAAGGCAGGCAGCAGAAGCACTGAGCTAAATCCCTGTCCCACGCCCCCCCCCATATGCTTTTAAATGAGGTAATAGGCGGGGTGGTGGTGCACACCTGTGATCCCACACTTGGGAGGCTGAGCCAGGAGGACTGTGTGAGTTGGAGGCCAGCCTGAACTACATAGTGAGACCTTGTTTCAAAAATAAATAAATACATAAATAAATGAATGAGGTTACAAAGATTAGACCTACTTAATAAATTACACCTTTCGCCTAATGAAGGTTACTTAATTTTCCAGTCTACAGGTTATCATAAACCCACCTTTCTCATACCTGGCACCCTGAACATCAGAGCTCCTGCCCTGCAAAGGTGAGTCCCCTACTCTCTGGAATATGATATCACCAAGGTTAGGTGCCCTGTGGAACCCTGAATCACAATCTTTCTCAGGCAATGCCCTTGTTATCTCCTTGTACAATTATGCAAATTACAATTTTCCCCTGAAATGAAAATATTAAAATACAGAGCTAGGAAACCTCTCCATCCAGTAGCTTATTCTCCACTTCATGTGGTAGAGAATGACTCATGGCAAGCACCAGGTATCTGCCCAGGCCTGCAGTCCCAGATAAGTTTCATATTGTCATTTGTTGCATCAAGAGTTCAATGTATTTTTTGGTCCAGTTTCTTTTGCGGGTTCTCAGTTTAAACTTTAAACTTTGAAAGTTAACAGGTTACAGGCTGGAGGGTGCAGCTCAGTGATAGTCTTGTGTGCACAAGGCCCTAGGTAGTGGCAGGGGTTTTTTGCATGTTGTCAGTACAAGGATATCCAATCAGAATTGGCTCCAGCTAGAGTCGGAGCTCATTTGTTTTCACCTGCATGCTCTCCCTGACCCTGAGTGAGCTGCTTCATGGCACTTCTTCAGCTGCAAATCTGGATTAAACTGCCAATCTACCTACCACAACAGCCAGGAGAAAGAGCTGATAAAATTGGAGTATTGCCAACATCCTTTGCAGATGTGCAAACTATGTTGCAAAGCCCCAGTCTTAAACATCTCCCAAAGAATATAAGTCTAGGGTTTGCACAGTTCAGAAAATAAGGGGAATGGCTTGTTGGGGCCTACTCCCAGCAGTGGTGGAAAGCTATGGTCTCCTCTCTGCCTGCCTCTAAGAGCCACAGGTTGGCCAGGACTTCTCAAAGCCTTGGAGGGGGCCCCCAGCACCTCCACTGGGAGTAGACAAAAGTCTCCTAGTGAGAAACATCTTTCCAAGTCCTCTTGGAGCTCTTTACATTTGTACTGTTTTGGTTGGAAAGGGAAAACTTAAGCAGAGAAGCAACCAAATACACACAGCTGGAGGCTAGCATGCGTTCACATAAATATTTGCTGATCTATGAAGAGGGAAATTATAAGTGGGGCTCATAGGAGTCCAAGGTTTCTGATATAAAGGGACAGAGGTCTTAGTTAACTCCACATTCTGCAGAAGAAGAATCCGAGGACTAGAAAGATAAAGTGTTGTGTTCAAATTGCATGGCTCGCTGCTGATAAGAGCCACCCAAAGCCTGGGATTTCTGGGCCTGCTATGTACCCTGTCTTCCTGTGGCTTGGCTAATGAGTGACCTTCTGAAAAGACATGCTGGGTATGATAGTGATGCCTATAACCCACTGCTCAGGAGGCTAAGGCAGGAGGACTGAGAGTTTGAGACTCTGTCTTAAGAAAATGAGAAAAAAATAAAGAGAGGAAGGGAGAAAGAAGGAGGAAGGGAAGGGAAAAGAAAGGCCCTGTGGCCTGTTCAGCAAATTGGGGGTCTACTTGACAAGGGACCCCTGTGGTCCCCAGCCTGATTCAGGACATATTACCTGTGAATCTCAGGGGCACCCAGAAGGAAGAAGCAGCCAGACAGCTCTCCATTTTGCTTCTGAGTCCCTACTTTTGATGACGGTGTTGTGTGTGGGTGGTACACAGTGTATGTAGGAGAGGGAGAGGAAGGGCTCGAGGAGACAATTGGGAAAGTGCTAATGCTCCACCTCCCCAAAATGCTGTTCACATTTGAAAAAGAAATCATTGAGAGAACAGAGAGCACCAAGGACTTGAAACCTGAAGTGCTTTCCGTACCCATAGTCCATCACAAGCAGATTTTGAAAACTAGGTAAGTATGAAAGAGGTAGGAGTGGAGGAGAGTTGCAGAAACACCCAGGCAAGGGTGATCCTGCTGGTTTTGGTAGGAAGCAGACTACCCAGTTATATGTAGACAGATGAAGCTTTGGAATATCTATAGCTCTATCTATATCCATATCCAAAACACAACTCAAACATCGAAGCAGGGCCCCTCCAAACCAGCCCTTTCCAACTTTTCTTACTACAGCCTACCAGAGTAATAGCCATGCCTGACTATGCTCTAATTATTCATTTAGCAGTCATTGATCACCTACTAGTCCCAGCCAATAGGCAAATAAGTATATGGTATGTTAGATGAATTAATTTCTTCATTTATTCCAATGTCCTAGCCTGAGTACACATAGAAAATATTTTATTTCCTTCTCCTTCCCTCTAAGCCTGGCTTGCAGTCTTTCCCCTTCCTGGCCCTCTGAACTGAGGCCCTTCTCTCCAGAGCAATTTTTAGTATTTTGTTATTGTTTCTTGCTTTGGCGGTTTTGGAGATTGAACTTAGGGCTTCACACTGAGCTATATTTTTTTCATTTTGAACCAGGGTTTTGCTAAGTTGCCCAGGCTGGGCTCAAACTTACAAGGGCAACTCCCTCCTTAGCTACTCAGAGTGCTGAGATAAAGGTGAGCTTCACTATACTCAGCTGCCTTTGGTAACTGGGGATGGAGAATTGGGAGAACACTGGGGTGCAGGAAGAAAGGGCATTAGAGGAGGTTGGAGGTGAAGGATACAAGAGTTTTTTTGTTGTTTTTGAGATGGGGTTTTGGGATTTCACTGTGTTGTGAAAATGGTCTCAAACTGCTGGGTTCAAATGATCTTCCGACCTCAGGCTCCTGAGAGCTGGGCCTATAGGAGTATGCCATGATGCCTGGCTCAAGGAAGAGTTTCGTTTTTGTTGTTTTCTTGGTACTGGGGATTGAGTCCAGGGAGCACTGAGCTAAAATCCTCAGGCTGAGGATTTTAGCTCAGTGGTTTCACCGCCCGCCTCGAAAGTGCAAGGTCCTGAGTTCGATCCCTGGTACCAAAAAAAAAAAAAGAACTTTCTCATAGCATTCTCCCACACTGACTGTCCACCTGTCTCTTTAGGGCAAAGACCTTTAGGGCTGGGGATTTAGCTCAGTGCTTCCGCTGCCTGCCTCGAAAGCGCAAAGACCCGAATTTGATCCCTGGTACCAAAAGAAAAAAAAAAAACAAAACAGAAACAAAATTCTCAGCCTTTTAAATTCTTTTATTTTGAGACAAGTTCTCACCAAGTTTCCCAGGCTGGTCTTGAACTTGGAGTCCTCCTGCCTCAGCCTCTTCAGTAGCTTGGATTACAAGTGTGCACCACTATACCTGGGAAGGAGCTTTTTAAGGGCTCTGGTGTATGAGAAAATATGGTAGGCAGATGAGAAAGAAAGCAAGGGGATTTTTTAGGACAATGGTTGGTGATTCTGTATTTCCTTCTAGATGTAAAGAATTACAAGCAAAGACCTTGAATCATTTTTCAAATGACTTTTGGTTGCACAGAAGGGGTCCTCCTGACCTAGACAGCACTCTAGAGTTTTGACTTTATATGCTATTTGCATTCATTCACTGGACAAATATTACTGATCAACCTCTATATGCAGTTACCATGCAAGACCCAACAAAATGGATCTGGTTCTCTGAAAGCTTGAAAATATTAAATAAAAAAGGATACTGAATTAAATCGTGATGTGTTTTCTGAAGGAAAGAAGCACAGTGGTGGGGGGAGGGGGGAAATTTGTGAACAGCTTTATGTCTTTGGAATATATCTTGCTCTTCACACTTTAAGGTCTTTGTTCACACTGTTTTTTTTTTATAGTGTGCCCTATCAAAATCTTAATATTATACTGAAAAGCTCAAATGTCACCTTCAAGATGCCATTTTAGATCTTCCATTTAGACTATTCCCTCCTGACACATTACTTGCCCACCTATTATATTACATGGTTCATTCTGCCATGCCAAGTAGATACCTATTGTAGAGGGAAAAAGTGTTCCAGTTTTCCTGGTACTGAAGGATGTTCTGGGATGCAGGTGCTAATACCTGGACAGTCCGGAGTGAACAGGGCTGAGTTGATAGTTACCCTAATCTGTGGATGGGTCTATATTCTTTATTAACATTTTTCTTATTACTATTATTATTTTTGTGGTACTGGGGATTCAACCCAGGGGCACTCTATCACTGAACCATATCTCCAGCCCTTTTTAAACTTTCAGATGGTTTCACTAGGTTGCCTGGGCTGGGCTTGAATTTTTGATCCTCCTATTTTAGACTCCCTAGTAAGTGGGATTACAGGACTGTGCCACTGCGATGTCTTTTTTATATCCAATATTCCAGGAAAAAGAGGCCAATCCTTTTCTCTATTCACACAATGACTTACACATAGAAATGGTGATAATATAAACACCAACAAGAAGGGCTTGTTTTTGAATATTTGGGATATTCCAAGCTTTGTTTGAGCTCCTCACAACAACCAAATAGGTCAGGCATTTCCCTTCCTATAAGGAAACGAGACTAAATCCAGTATTTGAGAGGGTGGGACTGAAGAGGGGCATTTATCCGCCATGCTAAAACAGTAGTTCTCAAACTTTTTGATCTTAGCCTCCTTTTACACTCTCAAAAATCATTGAAGACCCCAAAAAAGTTTATGTGGGCTAATGTATTGATAATAACTATTAAAAATCAAAACTGATAATTTAAAAAATATTCATTGTATTTAAACATTAATTCACATGAACATTAATAATACATTTCCTTTGAGATGGGATTTTGGTGTGTTGTCCAGGCTGGTCTCAAATTTCTGGACTCAAGCAATCCTGTCGCCTCAGATTCCCTAGTACTGAGACTAACACCACAGGGCTTTAATAATACTTTTTAATTAATTAATTAATTAATTTTTACCAATGCCCAGGACTTCACAAATGCCAGGCATGGACTCTACCACTGAGCGTATCTTCAGCCTCTTTTGGAAAAAATTTTTTGATGGCTGGAGATGTAGCTCAATGGTACAGTGCTTACCCAGCATGCATGAAGCCCTGGGTTTAATCTCTAACACCACACAAAAAAGATAAGCAAGAAAAAAAATTTTTTGAGACAAGGTTGAGCTAAATTGCTCAGGCTGGCCTACAACTTGCTAGCTTCCTGCCTCAATCTCCCCAGTAGCTGGGATTATAGGTGTGAATCTCCAAGCCTGGCAATCCTTTTTTGTTTTGTTTTGGTACTGGGGATCAAACTCAGAACCTTGCACTTGCAAGGCAAGCGACTGAGCTAAATCCCCGGCCCTGTTTTGTTTTGTTTTGATGAGGCAGGGTCTTGGTATGTAGTTCAGTCTGGGCTTGAACTCACTATGTACCCCAGACTGGCCTTGATTTGTGGACATTCTCCTGCTTCAGCCTCCCAATTACAGGTGTGCATCACTACACTCAGCTAACCATTCACTTTTAAATGAAAAATACTATATTTTCCAAAACCAAAAATATGCTAACGAGAATGACAAGTCTTTTAATCTTTGGTTTACCAGATAAACAGGTGGATTCTCACATCTACTACACTCAGTCTGGTGCTGCATTACTGCACACTGGTAAGAGAAGTTGCAAATAACTTCTTAGGGCAGAATTATGAAAACTGTTTTGCTTTTGGAGACCCCCTGAAAAGGCTGTGGAAACCTCCAGGCGACCCTTGGGAAGCACTGTACTCTATGAAAACAAATGACACGTTTAGACTTTTCAGAGCCTGGATGGATGGCAGGGATCAAGAAAAGACGTATCTTCGGTTTGTGCAAATGTTGAGTTTTGATAGGTAAAATGCTGGGGACAACAGCGATAAGAACAATCGCTTGTTTTTGGCCAAATCTTAATCTGCGAGCTCTTCCTGGGTCCCCTCGGCTGACGTCGACCTGGACTACAATTCCCCTCAGAGCTCACGGCAGGGGGCGTGTCCACAAACTGTGGGGAGTGTGGGTGACTCAAATTGATGACGGAAGTGGGGGGGGCGCACTTGCGGTGCTGCAATTGGAAGAGACGGAAGAAGGGGAGGAGTCGGTAATTGGATCAGCCAATGGTGTGCGGTCAGGCGGAAGGAGGGAACGGGGCGGGCCCAGGCTGTCTGGCGGGCCCCGCGGATCTTACGGAGCCGGGAGCCGCGAGTTTGGGGACAGAAGAGTGGTGTCCTCGGGCCGTGGCGGCCAGGCGAGGGAGATGGCGGCGCGATGGAGCAGCGAGAATGTGGTAGTCGAGTTCCGCGACTCCCAGGTGAGCTGGGGCGAGGAACGAATGGAGCCGTCTGGGCATGCGCCCTCCGTGGTTCCCCTCCCCCCGACGTTGCTGCAGCCCACTGGGGGCGGGGGCGGGGAGACCCCTGGCCTGGGCTGGAGAACTTGGCAAGAGTGACCTGGAGCTGTCAGACTTGGGCAGGCAAGGGGAGACTCGATGACCTTTGAGGCAGGCACTGACAGGCTTTCGGGGTTTCCTGCGGGCCTTTGGGGAGTGGGGTGCGCCTGGGGACACTGAGGCAGAGATTGTGTGCGCGAAAGTGCTTATGGAGCCTTCTCGCGCCCAGGGCGGCGAGCAAGTAGAGAAGTCCAGTCTCTAAGGCTGGGGTTGCTGCTTGGCGACTTCGGGCAAGTTGTACAACTTCTGTGAGTTTGCTGCATGGATTTAACCTTGCCTCACAGGATTTTGGGGTTGCAAAGTGCCCGTTTCAGCGCCTAAGCGATTAAGTTACCGATGTTCTGCTAGTGAAAAATACCATGTAGTGGACAGGAATGCATACTATAAGAATTACTGGAGTTCAATTTCCCGCACTGTCCACTAGTCAGTTTTCTCACCTGTAGAGAAGATAGTCGGACCTGTCTTGAAAGATGGGCACGAGAATTTTATGAAATCACATGTTCAAAATGTGTTGGCATAGTGACAGGCAGTATTATGCCTTAAGAAATGTTAGGATTTACTTAGGACTTTTTACCATTTTTCTTCTTCTTTCTTT